CTCTCTCCATTGATTGCTCTTGACGCCATGGCCCAGCGCTCCACCATGCCGTTAGAGTTCCTGCGAGACTTGTAGCAGCTGCGAGCGTGCTTCCCCGTTAACGGTGTAGAGAAGTTTGACACGCAGCATGAGGAGACGCGGATTCTTCCCGCTTCTTGAGTTGTCCACCGTAAGCTGCTGCACAATTCGTCCATGCGGCGGAATCACCGTACCCGCCTGGCATGCGATATCCAACGTAGATGTCTTGGGCACCGCCACCTGAATTGAGAGGTTTTCCATCACAATGGGGAGGCGTGACATGACAATGATGTTTGCAGAAATGACGGATTGCGCCACACCACTTACACTTACGGCGAGGTCATCACACTCAAACACTTGCACCTCTGGCTGTGTCGTCGTCACTGCTGCTGGTACTATTGGCGCTGCAGCTGGCTGTGGGCTCCACGGAGTTGTCTGAGACGCGCTGCCCGAAGGTAGTTCATGCTTGACACCAAAGAGATCATCGATAACGGCGTCCACATGCCCGGTGTTGCCGCCCCCGGCAGGAGAGGCCACACAAGTACTCGCGCCTACACCTAAAAGATCACCCAGCGCACCTGCTGACGCCTGGTACAACACCTCAGGAGGAAGATTCACCACCGGCACAGGCTTTACCTCCACCTCAGCCTCCCCCACTGTACAGATAGGCGGCATCCGAGCGAAGCTGAAGGTTGCCTCCTCACTGAAGGACTCGAGCAGCGTCGTGTACTCGCACGCTCGTTGCTGCAGCTCACAATCCAAACTCTTCGCGTAGTTAGCGTACACTGGAAGAACAACCGCTCTCGTCTGTGGGAACTTCGAGGCTATCTTCATAAGTGCAGTTAATCCATAGCACTTGATGAAATTGAATGAGACGTTGTTAGTAATGTCTGCGATACACATGGCTACATCCTGCGGTTCCAATCCCTTTGCATCGATCAAAAGGTCCACGTACTCGCCAATGCTCCATACTGCCGCAACGAGGAATGCCTTTCGGGATTGATGAAGGGCGTCAAACGGGTATGACACCTCTTCCCACATGGAAAGAATGGCACTTGTTTGTATCTCTGGGGACTCATTTGAGAGTAAGGCGATGAAACGAGTGGCAAACTCTACAGGAGCAAATTGCCTCGCTAACCGCAAAAGGCGAAGTGAAAACTCGACACGCCATTCCGTACTCGGCGATTTACTTTCTATGATATGGCATATGTGAAGTGTCACATCCTCACGCATCTCCTCGGTGCAGACTGACAAGTATGATACCAAGTCTGGCACCAGCAATCGCACATTAGTTTCATTGACCAGTGCCACAGTAAGATCGAGTGCGCGCCGGCGAATTGAAATGTCCACATCCTTGAGGCAATCAAGAACTATGTCTTGGTGTTTACGGACAGTATCCGCATCACAGGTGGAGTAATCCAAGAGCGCTTCAAGTGCCACAAAACGCAGGTTGTTATCACTCGAAGAGAGGAATCGACCAATGGTGTTGATTCCCAATGTTCGCAGCCCCTCATCTCCCTCAATTGTGTAGATTGTTCTCACACATTCATACTGAACAGCGCAGCCAACATTACGACTTCCATCAGTGTTGGTGAGAACTTGCGCCAGAACATCATTCAGTGCCTCGGAGGTAACGGGGCTGTCCTTCCCAATGATGCGCATAAACTCCAGGATCTTCACCTGGAGGAAAGGGTCCGAGATGCCGCCAACGTCCTGGTCCGTCACCCGAGAGGATAACACAAGCTGCTTGAGCACGCGAACTGCGGCATTCGCCATCAGACGATATTTGGAAAGAAACTGTTCGCCCTGTGGGAGCTGCAGGCACTCGTTTACAAGTGTGACAGTGCATAGCAGCAGACCTGAATTGCGCTCCACAAACATGTTTGAGCACAGTTCCAAAAATACCTCTGCGTAGTCTGGAATCTTCTTCACAATTCGAATGGCCGCCAGGCATGCCTTCTTCGCCAAGTACGAGTTGGAGGAGTTTATCAGCTTAGACACCTCATCCAGCATGTCGCGCGCCATCACATCACTGGCGATATTTGCAACCACGTTCAATGCCATGGACTGAATGAGCGGCTGACCCTGCGCCAGATCCTTCTTCATGTGATTTTCCGACAATGTAAGGACCTCATCATTCTCGTCAAGTACCATCTGCAGCGTTAGGTATCCCACCCGCTTTCCCGCGTAGTCTGCCTGCGCGAGAAGGCTCACCACCTCCACCTGCCCGAACTCCGTCGGGTAACCGAGCATGGATATGTACAACAGCTTTAACATGTTGCGAGTGCGCAGAAACGGCCTGTTCTCGCGGAACGCCTCGCGAATGAGGGCGCTTTCCCTGTTGATGAGCGCACGCTCCTCAGCGGAGGTTTTGCACTGCCGCACCGCAGAGATCAGATCGCGAAGACGAACCGTATGTACTGAGGACATTATTGCTTTCACGCTGATCTTTTTATCTTCCCTTTGCTACTTGTGTTTCCTTGTTTGACACTTCTTGCTTTGATTGTTGTTGTTGTTGTTGTTTTGGGGGGAGGTTTCCGTTCGCCGTACAAACACACACACACACACACACTATTCAGGTCAAGGAGCAGCACACGACAGAAAGAAAGAGACGAACGCGTGGAAATGTTCTGCAGCACGCGTGCGAGAGGAATACCACGATGGCAACTCTCGCCAGCAGTGTTGCGCCCCAGCCACCACCACCACCACCACCACCACCGCCACCACCATGGGCGCGCCACAACCAGGACGAGAACGAGAAGCATTACGCAGAAACAATAATAAAAAAAAGAGCAGAGAGAAGTAATTTCTTATTCGATCCGGCAGTTAAATTCTCTCGGTTGCCTCTGCGTTCTTCATCCATTTAAAACAAAACAAAAACCACAAACGTCAACAACGAAGCCTGCATACAACTTCATGACAAGCTGAAGTTCCGTCGTCCTTCAGTGATTGCCGTCAGAAGTCGTGACTTCATGATCGCATGCGACGAATATGGGGGAAGCTTGAAATAGAGGAAGCACGTATTACACGACGGCAACATCTGCTCCCCTTTTCCATCCATCTCCTTCCGCACAACAGTGATCTTCCGCCCAAGGCCCGCCAACCCGTTCAACGGTAGGCGCGAACTGCCGGTGAGGAACTCAATGAAAAACTTCTGCTGCTCCCGAGTGAACTCTGCACCAACAATAGAGATCAGCATCGCCACCTCTCGCGACCCAGGCGTGTATCCGTGCGCCTCCATAACAGCTGTGCGCAACTCCTCCTCACCAAAGAGACGCTCGTCCGGGTCCTCACGTGACGCTCCACAGACAACAATACTCATCTCATCATCTGACAGGAACCAAAAGGCGTCAAGGTCAATGACACTGGAAATCCCGAGTGCGAACCAGTGGAGGTTCATAAGAGCATTCTCCAAACGTTCCTCCACACACCGGGTCACGTATGCCTTTACTGTTGCCATCGTCAGCAAGGTACCACTCTCTTCATCCTCAACACCCATCTGCTCAAGTTCCATATCTGTTGCATTCAGCATACAGCCATAGGAGTGGGCCAATACAGGTTCCAACTCTGTAAGAAGATTCCATTTTGCCTTCTCAGAAGGCGATTGTGAACGAATGAATGGCCACGCCAGAGGAAGGAGATCCACATCCATTGTGTAGCCATCTGCAAACGCCCGTCCACAACAAGCACCAAGAACAAAGAACTCCTCTAGACATACTCGCTCAAGAGTCGGAAACGGCACATACGATCCGTCATCTTTCTTGTGCCAGAGAGTTGTCAGGCCTCGGTAGCGCTGTGACAACTCGGCGTAGAGTTCCTGTGTGGGACCCTCACCAGTACCTTCCTCACCCTCGAAGTTAAACTCAACCTTGTTGCGTAATGTAGGGTACTGAAGGAAGGCTTTGAACAGAGCCTGTGTCATGACCTCGGTGTCCCGACTTACCGTGACTTTAGTCGCCAACCCATTACTACTTATGTCCCCTACAACTGTACCACGCACCGTCGCATTCACATCTTGCAAATGATACAGACCAAACCGGCGGCACCCAACAGCAAGAAAGTGTGCTGTATCACGTTTGAAGGGTAATGACAGGAACGGAGACATTGCTTCAAGCACATGACTCACCCTCACCGGGATGCCAGCGAGACCCTTCTCGAATATTTCCACACCACACGACTCCAGTGCATTCACAATTGCTGGTTCAATATCACCCTGGTGCTGTTGCTTACCAAAGGTCCGAAGAAACAGCTGCAGTGGATAACCAATTTCAGTAACATCTTTAACAGAGCCTGCAATAAAGGAAGGAACCGAGATGTTGCAACAGCAATGGCAACTTGTTTCTGAAAAATGCACATCCTCGCCTATAAGGGTAGAGGCAGGGCGACTAGCAGGTAGAACACCTTTTGGTGTGAAGAGAAAGGCGCTCTGTGCTGCTTTCCCGTCCGAAGCCGCTTCACCAGAGTTCTCCTTCACCAGGCATTCGCGCCAGGCCCGGATAACGTCTCCCACGACAGCTGTCGCACTAACATCCATCCGTGATAACTTCGCATTACTGCAGTCTGAGCACAAGTCATAATTACATTCACGACATGCAAGAGATCCAAATGCATTTGATGTCATGCATGAATCACAACGCCACTTGACACTGAAATGTACAAGAAGTGGGTGTCCATTGGGGCATTGAGCACGATTTGCCTTGGTTTCTTCCGACCTACAAATACTAATAATATGAGAGGCATCACACACCTTGTTCATCAAACCCTTTACTTCTCGCTGGGCCACACTTATCTGATGTAAGGCACGCAGCACGTAGGTGTGCACTGCAGATCGAACCTGCACGGCAAGTCGGGAGTCCTTTTCGATGTCAGCGCAAAGGATCCGAATATTTTTTTCCGAGACTCTCAGGCTCTCCAACTCTTCAACGAACGCTAGTAGCTCTGACGAAGAAGCATGACGTAGAAACCCTGGTAGGTCAGCAAGTTTGGTCAGTTTAACCGGTGTCAGTTGCGGCGAGCTCCCCGCCGACCGGATGAGCTCGGCGATAGGAGGAATGTGCTTTGGTCTTGCCACGGTAGTAGCGACTTCTTTTGCGGCGGTGGTCGCTGGAAGCACCGTGAGAGCGTCAGCAACGCCCGCCTCCAGAAGCGCTGGTGCCCAGCCCTTGTCACGCTGCAGCAGTGTAGTAGAGATCTCCTCCACTACCGAGCGCTTATGTTCAGCAGGGAGGCTGCGAAATGCGGCGACGACATCTTCCGTGCTGGTGGGAGGCACACTACAGATAACGTACAGGCGAATAGCGCGAGCCAAGGCCGATGTTTGTGAGTGGCCAAAAGACAAAGCACGCAGTGCCTCCTGCAGCAGGGTCGAGACCTTGCCAGAGAGCTGGATAGCCTCCGGTGGTATTACCAGTTTGCCATCGAACACAACAACACTTGGTATAGGCTGAAAATGGATCCGGGAGACCGTAAGGGTTAAAGCGCTAGTGTCTGTCATGGCACGAAGATCAATAATATGGCGCGTCTGAAGCACTTTCCTTGTCGTCTCCGCAGCGAAGAACATCGCCGTCAGCCGCCGTCGCGTACTTTTGGTGTATGGATAGTAATCGTCACCGTCACCGCGCCAAGCCCACATATACTCGCAGCGAAAGCCAAAGTCTGCACCACATAACTTTGCCAACAGTACCAATGCGCTGCATAGTACCGGGGGGACTATCCACTGCAGGTTTGGCAGGGCCTGAAAAGTGTCGGGCCACAGCTGATCCTGCTTCGTTGCCCGCTGACGGTTATGTGCAAAAGGGCTTGAGAACCCCGCGACACGAGAAGCATTTTGCTGCAGCACCACAGCCAGCCAACCTAGCGCTCGCTCATTAGCCTCAAGTGGAATGGATGCTACCTCTAGCACACTTGCAAGACAAGCCAGTGTCAGTTGCACACGAGACTCCGCCGTTCCACTGGAGGCGATGCGTTCGCCGATTTCAAGCAAAGCCTCCGCCAAGTTTTTGCGCGACACACCGTTGGAAGATGCACTTGGGGAGGTAGTGGTAGTACTCGTCGCCGCATCAGTTTTTGACGATCGTTTCCGCTTTCTTCCCATCTCCTGAGATTCCTGTGGAACACAAGCAGCACACCACACACGGTACGTAAGCATTCCCTCCACAGCAGTGCGAAGCAACTCGTCCCATTCATGGTCAATATCGAGGTGACACAGCGCCGTTAGGTTATGATGCATCAGGTGTTCTACAGCCTGGAAATCACCCGCATTCTTCAACTCTCCGCGACGCATCAAACCAATGCAGTGTCGCAGCACCTTGCAGGAAGTCCACTTAGTGTCGTCCAGAGCACTAAGGCAAAATCCAAGCTGCTCCTCAGTGGAGGGCACGACTCCAGCAATCTCAGCGCAGTTACCCGCGAGGGAAAGACAATTGAGGAGTTCCTCTTTCAGTTCCTTCATCGTAGTTTTCTCCTGCTTCAAAGTTACTTGACGTTTCTTTACCATCGCGAATACATTTTCGAAGCATTTCCTCACAGCATTTGGTGTGTTAGCCTTACAAAGTTGGGAGATGCACCGTGAGAACTTGTCGAGGATGAGAGCTAGTGCGCGGGTAGCCATAACCACCACATCTCCGTCCTTTCCTCCCTTCTTCAGAGTCTCGTTGATAGTGTGGAACAGAGGGAGCAGCGAGAAATCCGGCCCTTCCTCCGCGATGATGAGCATCGTGCACAAGTCCGAGAGATTGTCATAGGGAGACCTTGCGGGATCGCTATCAAGTGCAAAGAGCATCGGACCTCTGCAGTGCCTTAAAATTCGAACTCTTTTTTCTTTTTCTTTGGGGGTGAACTAAACCCAGTTGACAGACGCATGGACAACGAACAAAGAAACAGAAATAATGTTTTATTTTTAAATAAAACAAAAACATTAGTGCGGAGCAATGCACGAGAATTTGGCACACCGGCGTCCTGAATTCGGCAGGTAGCAATTATTTAAGCCCACACCGCAGAACTCGATGAAACGTCAACTAATTATGGCGGAAGAACTTCCAGCCAATCCAACTCCAGTAGACCCCTACAAAAATAACAGGTGGACACATGGAGGGCAGGAGAGTTTCGTACCACCCAAGATCCATCACAGAGCGGCTTCCTTGTTCAATGGGGCGACCCCAACACTCTGCAACGCGTGACACAAACCACACAATGTACACCCATGTAGCCACCAGCGCCGGCCAACCAAGCAGAAATCTCTTCCACGGTTGCTTCCGGTGGTCAGGGGCATACATGGGGCCTCCACCGCCAAGGAATTTTCAGACCCTTTCTTTATTTGTCTTCTCTAGGTACCGCATGGAGGGTACAGAAGAAAAAGGCCAAGGGAAGGGAGAGAAAGGGGGAAAAAAAGGGGGGAAAGGGACCTGCTGGGTGTATAAAAAAAAGGTCTGGTGTAGTGAGAGGTTGTGTTAGATATTTCCAGCTCTAGTTGTCAGACTCAAAGAAGCTGAAGAAGAATACAGGGCAGAAACGAGAATGGACCGCATGCCCTTGGTGTTGGGGGTAAAACAAATACAGACATCTGTCACTACACCCATAACCTGAGTGGGGAGGTGATACTTCAGCCAACGAGTGGTCTCTATGTCCTTCCACGACCCCTTTTCACCGCCGCGTGAGGACCGATGGTTTCGCCAGCTTGCCGTAGCGCGGCGTGTAGGCGCCCGGCCCCGGCGGGCCGCTGCACTGCAGATCGTTCCAGTGGTTCGAGATGTTCATCCCCCGCTCCCCGCGGCGAGACACGGTGTGGCAGTCTGTCGCCTGGTTCTTGCGCCGCGACATCGCCTCTACGTCGGTGCTCAGGTAATACTGGCCCTTTTGATCAACAATAGGTACGAAGCGACGCTCCCGGCCAAATGTGCACGCCCGTGGATTGTCGTCTGCCAAGAACGACCCCATAATCAGTGCGCTATCGTGTTCCCAGCTCTTCCGCATGGAGTCCTTCATTTCTCTATACACGTTCGTCTTGATGGTCTTTAGCCGCTCTGCCTCAGAGGGAATGCGGCAGCTATGATCCACGCTGGAGCGGTCGAGTCGGCGCCCAGAGCTTCCTCTTGTAACTTGCGTGCAATTCCTGCTGGAGGTATCGTTCGCGGCTCGTTGGCTCCATATGGTGGACTGGGCGCCGTTCGCCGAGGCGGAGGAGCCGCAGCTGCTAAAAATTTTCCGCCGCTGCTCCTCGAGGACCATGCGGCGCTGCTTTAGTGCCTCCAGCTCCTTCTGTATGTCCACCAGCTGCGCGCTCGTCTCCGTCTCGGAGTCGACACCGCCCTCCGGCTTCTTCTGTGTGCTCTGCATGCCCCCGCCTCTGATCCACTCCCCCTCCCTCTTCCTCTTCCTCTTCCTTAGCTGCAGTTCTTGATGAAAGACTCAAAAGAAGGAAGCGCCACGGGGAAACGAAGAAAAAAAGAGAGAGAGAGAGAAAGAAGACAAGAAAGGATTATTTCTTTTTTTTGTTTGTTTTTGTTTGCGTTTTTCAACTCGGCGTGGCAGCCCCCTTCAAGCAGGCATCACTTGGACGGGGCGTTTGCTGATCATCCGCACCAAGCTTCGCCGCCACCCTCCGAGCAGATCGGGTTTATTGATTGGAGTGGCCTTTTTTTTTCTTTGCTTTGCCTTCCTCACTCCCACTGCGAGAGTCAACTTGAAGAAGACCAACTCGCTTCACTGGCAAGTGCACAGAGGAGGTGTTGTGTTGTCTATTGCGAATGGTCGCCCACACGATGAGAGCAGAAAAATGGAAAAAGAATTGGTGAGTAATAAACGAGAGCGAACGAGTGCATGGACTGGATGGGCAGACACCTCACTTCATACCTATTTTGTCCCTTTTCTTGTTCGATTGATTAAGAGGACTGTTTGTTCATGCCTTCTCTAATTCTCCTCCTCCTCCTCCCCTTTCTCTCTCTCTCCCACACACAGACGCACACACATAAACACCTCTTCCTTCCCTCCTTCAGCTCACCACTGTACGTTGAATTAAAAAAGGAGACGACATTCCCATCATATTCCGCGCTGCAACAGCCACTTATGTTGATCCGCCCCCCCTCACCCTCACTGCGTCACGACCGAAGTGCATCGTTGGCGTCGTTCTTCATGTTGGCTCAGTCACCAGAATGGGGCCCAGCCGGTGATGTACGCTTCGGCGAGGTTGTCGAGGCTCGTCGCCTCCTGAATGAGGCGGTCCACCTGGTGCGGGACATCGAGGCAGTTGGTGCTGCCGTTCACGACCCTCAGCGACAAGTACGTCGACGGCACCGGTGCCACCGTGCTGAAGGAGTCCTTCGGCGAGGTGCCGTAACTGTTCGACCCCCATGACGAGGCGTCGCAGAGGTCGTCGCCCCCGTCGCGCCTGCTGCTCTGCAAAGCCAAGCTGCCGTTCACCACGCCGAAGTCCTCACCGGTCAACTTTGCGCGGACGCGGGCAAGTGCCAAGTCGCCCTGCATGTTGCGCGTCTCCTCCTCGTTCATTTGGTCTACCGTCGTAGCGGCCGCCGACTCGCGAAACTTCGCCACGGAGCACGACAGCTGCATCTGCGGCTCGTCGGTCGGCTTCTCCGAGTCACCTAGCGGGTGATTCTCACTGGGCTTACCAGATGCCTCCGCGCGTGAAGAGGACTTCTCACCCTCCCCAACACTCGTCAGGCGCCAGTTGATGAGTGGATCGTAGATAAATGCCTCAAGAATGGACAGAAGATTCTCGCAGTGCCGCCGCAGGTTTTTCATGACAAGTTCACACGTCAGGCGGTACACACCGTCTACACCACTGATACCCAGAGCCGTGACCAACAATCGAGTTAGGCGAAACGGCACTGCCTCACCGTAGAGCGAGCGGTGCATGGCAACTTCAAAACAATCACCAAAGTCAATGTGAACGACGGCACCATTATCCTGCAACATCAAATTGTTGAGATGACGATCGCCCAGACCCAACACGTACCCTACCATCGACATAATTGCAAGTGTATGTCCGTATGTTCCACGATATTGCAACCACTGCTCGCATGTGTCATTCTTGTCCCATATAATACGTCGCAATTCATCATCTGGGGTGTTGGTCATGACCTGGTTCAAGAGATTTTTCCGATGCAGCTTAGGCAGTTGGTGGTACTCTTCAATAGCTTTTAGCCCTCCGTATTTCATGATCATGTGCACCTCTTCATAGATGGATACATTATGCTCCTTTCGTCGTGTCTCCAGTAGCTTGTATATAGTCTCTGTATTCTCCACCCATCCAATGATGCCTACATTGTCTGTCAGGGGAATGACAGTGTACTGGGGAATAGCAAGACCAATCGCACTCGCTGAACTGTCAGAAGAGAAGATGGTATTGATTAACTCTACAAACTGCATCACACGTTCATCCTGGCGCAAGTCTTCATGACCCTTAAGCAGGAAACGGTATCTACCTCCATCCGAGGCATCCAAACCAAATCTTCGTGGCTTTTGCTTAGAAGGCATGACAATTACACGATGATGAAACTTTTGAATTGTAATGAGCGGCTGGCCAAGGACAAAAGTACCAGGGACGGCAACAATACTCTTGCTAATACCTCCAAGTGTCGGGGATAAGTCTTCCATTTGAAGCCTTCGCTCCCCTGTTGCCTTGTTTAGCTGAGCATACACCTGCTTCAACAATGGCCATGCCTGATCAAGGGCCTTATTCTGCAAAGCAGTCCTGGCCCGTCGAAGTGTCGGGCCATATGCCTTCTCAAAACTGCACTCGTTTGGTGTTGTGGCCTTTTCCAACTCATCGTACAAAGGATCAAGGATTCGAAGCATGGCATCCGCGTCATCCAGTTTTCTAGCTGCACAGTGAATGTGGCTGTGCCATTTCTCCGCCCACAATATAGCTATGCGTACCATTTCATTGCTGATCAACGAAGCCTCCTCAACCATAGGGCCGTTCGACACACGAATTCCCTTCAGTACACGTTCTGCCATTAGCCGTCGAATAGCCTCAGGCGACTTTTCTGTCACAGTTAACGGATAGATGAGGGCGTGTGGGTATTTAGAGCCCACGCGCACAAGGAGTTCAGTAAGGCTAGACCTCGCGAGGCTCGCAGTGATACCAATGCGCGCCACAAGCTGAGGAATAACGTTGAGCCACACATAATCTGGAACATTATTGATACCCTCTTTGACAGCCTTGTTTACCTCACTCACCGTGCTGTGAGAAAACCAAATGGATAGTATTCGGAGGACATCCTCCATTACACCGTTACTCTGGCTCCGAGAAAGTTCTACTGACTTGAAGAGTGCTGTAATAGAGTCAACGTAATGCCTCACTTGAGCCTCAGGTGATGCCGAAGGGTCATGCGAGAGGTCGTAATGCAGAATACCAAGTGAATGAAACGCGGAGTAATTCTTGGGGCTAAGTTCAGTAGCCTTCTTGAGTCCCTCAATTGCCTCGTCACCCTTCTCCGGGAAGAGGTGCATCGACCATTCCCCCAGAAGCAGCCAACAGTTGCCCCATGCCTCTGCACGGTCATCACCAGGTGACACCCTCACCGTGCTGAGGATGTCAGAAAGGAGACGAAAAGTTTCGCGCTTGCTCTTGGTAGCGTAGCAGTGCTTTACGTACACGTGAATAACATCTGGGTCCTTCCGACACAACTCCTGCAGCTCCTTGTTGGGACCTAGGAGCAAGTTCAACATATGGTCCGCGAGTGGCCTCCATTGCGACTTCGATACAGCACGCACACACATAACCTGTGACGTCAAGTCTTGCTCAGGAGTGAGCACTAATGAATTGATTGTAATAAGCGTCTTGAGGTGCGCAGGGCGGGACGACATAGATGACAAACGTCGCTGCCACAAGCCTTTGAGCATTTTCTGGCGTTCATCACCAGACTTGACAAATGACACAAGTTCCTCAAAATGTCGTAGATGCTGCAACTCCACTAACAAGTCGTAAGAACGATTGTAGCTTTCCATGAAGGACTCGTAGAAGGAATCGAAGAGGGACTCTCTGGTCTCTTCCGTGAACTGGAGCAACTCCTCGAAGCGTTCCTGTCGGAATAGCACCGCACAATGTTCCACTGTGCCAAGCCGCTCCAATACACCGGGCTGCTCTGCTAATTCATCAAACTGGTGCCAATTCCCCAACGAAAGCGCGGCTTTTGCCTTAAACGGAGCTACTTCAAGTCGCGCCTCGAAGTCTAGCTGATCCCACTCTGTATTAATAAGCTCTTGCATGGTAATAGTCTCACCCAGGGCATCGTAGCAACGTAAGGCCCCCAGAAAAGAGGAAGTGTTGATGGTGCCATCCGTGTTCAGTATTCGAGATTGGTATCGACTTAGTGCTTCACCCCACCAGTTCAATTGCTCCAGTGTACCAACTTCATCAAAGCCAAACTGTTCAGGCGCAATAATATTGCCAGAGAATTTAGCAGACATTTTCTTCACCAGTCCCTTTGCGACCATGGTCAATCCCAAATGGCCGTAGAATTCAATCAACCGTTCCACCACCCGCAGCGCAGAGCGCACAGCGGCATCCTGACGGCCCGACACCTGCTCTCCCAACTCACTGAACAGTTGGTCAAACAGCACCTCATTAAGAAAGATAGCCTTGGCGTGCATCTGTGAATCAAAGGCAACACGGGCCAAAACATCAATGTCCATGAGTGGTTTGGGTTCCACTCTACGACGTTCCTCAAACTCCGAGTTTAACGTGAGCTCAATTTTACTGAGACCAGCTATCACTGTGACAATCTCGTTGACTGCATTCACCTTTCTTCCATTGATGGCGATTAGAACTGCACCAACAGGAACCCCTGCCTTATTGCCTGGACCATTGGGCTCTAGTTTGGTTACAACAATACCGCGCATACTTTGATCGTAGTTAATACCAAACTTCTTCCCCGTGTTCTCTCGCTCAACGATACAGTTAACAGTTTCTACTCGCTTTGACACCTCTGTATTCTTTTTACCGCGCTCTGATTCCAAAAATTCTGCAAAACCAAACAAAACTTGTTTTATATCGTTTGGAGACAACTCTGCTGCGCGTGTGAAGGTCGTCATAATGAGCGTCCGTTGTGATCTATCCAATTGGGCAATGAAGGCTGAAGCAGCAAATAAGAAAAGATCTCTTGATAGGTCAATGTTTCTCGCAGCGAGCATAGCTGTGCAACGGAGGGGCTGTATCGGAGAGTGGATCAGCATGACCACGGATGTATTGTGCAGCCAGGTAATCCACGACTGCTCACGTTTTTTCTTGTTGGCCACTGGCAAGGCTGCAATCTTTTGTAAGAGAGCTTCATCAATCGTGCTCTCTGGCACACGATTTTGATTTAGTTTGAGGATGCCGAGGTTGCGCCTCAGTGCTGACTGCATCTCCTGTGCCTTCCTTGTAAATGAATGGAAGTTCATTGCTGAGTCCTCACCTTGACAAAAGCGGAATTGAATTACAGTTTGTCCAGTCGAATGTGAAACGCCAATCACCTCAAAGTCATCCACGCCGAGGCGCATTGTATTCATCATCTCGTCTTCAAAATCCTTCTTGGAGAGTCCCGGCAGATGCGAAACGACGCTGAGAGGCAGATCAGGGTTAAGTGTGTCATGCTTCCTGGGTGGCACACGCACCTTCAAGAATCCTTGGGCAGCGGAGTTCAATAGCTCGGTAAAGGTAGTATCTGAAAAGCCCTTTTGTTCCGCAAGACGTTGAATAGAATGAATAAAGCGCTTCGCCGGTTGCTTTACAACTTCCACAAGGAAAGCAAGTGTATCAAGGCCCATCTCCATCTCATCTTGGCTGTCGGACTTTTCAATGTACCACATGATAATGTGAACAATTTCAGCACAACAATCCTTCACCAGCGACGGTTGTTTTACCATAATTTGATTCAGGAAATCGAAACACGCAGCGTTGATTTCTTTCGCCTTCGACCTAGAGGCCACATGCATCGACTCTGCCGGTTCAATGCAAAGAAGAACATGTGGTAACACCACTTGAAGGTCCTTTTCATGCAAAACCGCCAAGAATGACTCTAATGACTTCACTGCTCGAAGAACTAAAGCAAGGTCCCTCTTATCTTGCGAAAGACGTTGATGGATGAACTCCACCGCCCAACGGTGATCTCGCATTTCCTGCGCCGGAAGCCCACGAGCCACCTCATCCAACAACTCTACAACACCAGCATTGAGTGGCTTTTGTGAAGCTTGTGGGAGCAAACAGAAGAGTCGCACCGACTTGAGAAGCTCTGAACCGGTACTTGCTGGGATTATATCCTTGTACTGCCACAGCAAAGTCGCCAACTCGGTCATAAGAAATAAGATGCCTTGGTACAAATGGGCCTTCTCGGGGTCTGCCAGCCACGTCTGCAACTGAGGAAGAAATTGTGTGAGAAGCATTGCCTTCTGGTTTCCAGGTATTTCGCGTATCATAGCATTGATAGTGGATATCGTATCTGTCTGCGGTTGAGGGTCTGCGCTTTGCTGTAGCGTCTTCACCAGTAAATAAAGAACAATTGAGGGGTATCGTTCAGTCAATTGCGGATGTACACGCATACGTGGTTTGTAATGTGCCAAGGCTGGTGTCACCACCTCCTCTGCCTCTTCAATCTCATCGTCCTGTAGAACCTTCAAGACACCGCGCACCTTAATGGGGTTTACGGCGCCAATGACACTCATAGCCTTCAATGCAGTGTAATTAACGCTCTCATCCTCCTCCGCTTCAGATCGGATAATACGTGCGAGTGCGCGGCAAACATCAATGTGAGTAGGCTGCTCCGTTATTGTGATGGTAGTCAATATAGAGCATAATGTATCAAGCGCGGCTCTGCGTCGCTTCGAAGAAGTGCTCACATTCACAATATGAAGCACGGGCTTAAGGAGCTGTTTCGCATCACAGTGGCATTGTGACCCGGTATGATCCAGAATAGCCTGTAGTAGATTCAGCAATGCAATAGAGAAACTCTTTGAAACAAAAGTTTGCTTTTGAAGCCGTGCCAGTACTGTCAGTTCCACTGTCTTGGGCTGCAGAAGTAGCGCATCATGTTCTGCCGTCATCTGCAGTAGTGATGCCTGGTAAATAGCCGTGGACATTGAACCGTCATTCGCTTCAATCTCTCTCAGCATGTACTCCTGTAGGCGCAGTAACTGGGGATGGACAATGCCAGGGTGACAAGGATGCAGACGGCACAACAGGATAAGTGCCTGATCGCGTGCCTGTCTAGAAATATCGTTGCGCGCCATAAAAAGCGCATCGAGGTGATCCGGGAGTGAGAGATATGCATCGAACAGCGGTGACAATCTGCAGAGGACATCGTGGCGGAGATCGGCATCCCTGTCAGCTACCGCCACATCAAGCAGTTTTCCCACGGCATCTGTAACCATGTTGTCCAGTCGGTGCGTCAGTTGGTGCATATTGTCTTCGTTATCCGTCCCCACAATTAATTGCTTGCAGAGTGTCACGACTGCGTTGACAGCGGCCCGCCGCACATCCAGATTCTCGTGAAACATCAACTCCACCGCCTCCGGGAGTTGTCCCGTCCGGCCCAGAGTTGCGAGAAACGACAGCGCACGTACCAGCAGATCGACGTCTTTTTGGGGCGAAATGTCAATAACGCATCGCGCCAGGAAATCACGGCTCAGCGATGCACGATCCCCCATAAAACGCAGTAGCGCACTCAGCTTCTGCAGATTGACGTGCGCCATGTCCGCCTCGGTGACATCGTGCAGACTGTAAATGCTACCGACACAACTTTCCCCGTATTGCGACCGCAGAATCTCGAGTGTGTCAAATGCCACCTGGTGAAAAGGAAACTCGATGATAAAGTTGCGAATTCCTTCAACAGCCAACTTCACATGTGGTTCAATATCAACATGCCTGAGTACACCTTTGAATGCGGTGAGTGCCTCCAATGCAATATTCTCCTCCCAATCGGAAATGTAAGACAAGAGAAATCGTACAACCTTAGCGTACAGCTTTTCATCATTCACAAAGAGAAGCAGTGACTTCGCCGTCGTTCGCACCGCCATCATGCCAACCTCCTGGGGCTGCTTCTTCCAATTACAGCCAGTCAAAAAGGAGCATATCGCCTTCAGTGACCATGGCACCGCCTGGAGCATGGGCGACGCTGCAACAGCCTCAATGGCGGTCAACACTCCGACAGTATGGCCCTCTTCAGCAGGTGCCTCCATATACTCCGTCATGATAGCAGAAATCTGTACTGACATCGAGGTGTGTATATCAATGCAGTGTTTCTCAACGATGTTTGTAAGTAGAGAAACCAGAGCCTCTCTATGCCATAGCAAAGGGCTGACAATGGTCTCTCGTAATAGAAAATTTGGCTGGCAGGAGGTGTTGAGCGCTTCCAAGAGCGCTGGGTTACGCTTGATCACACCGCAGCTTGTTCCCACCATTGTTGCAAGCATCTGGCACCCCACTGCCTTCTCCCGGAGGGATGCACCATTCTGCATCATGTGGATGGCGCGATTCAAGTGTTTGCCCAGCAGATCCGAGGTGGAGCGGACATTCTCCTGCAGAACCTCACCTAGTTCGTGCAGCATGGCAGCGCAGTCCTCCATGGTTTTCGCGCTCGCCGCCTGCTGCATGAGAAGGTTAAGGCAGCGCGAACGCTCCTCATGCTGATCCCCAAGTTGAACATCAAAGACGACGCGAAGGGCCTTGATACCCTTGTCAACCGACACGCCGAATGTCTCTGTTACAAGGCGGAAAAGATAGTCGACAAGACCATGCTCACCCACCTCCTTAGTGTGCGCAACAAGCAGGTCGCGAAGAGCGGAGAGGCATTCTTCCACCCGCCGACGGCGATTGTCCGACGCGCTCTGCAGATTAAGGAAGATGATGCAAAACTGCCGTCCTAACGCAGAGGCACTGTCGCTGAAGAAACGATTTGAAGAAGAATCAGCTGCATCCGTCATTAGCTGTCACACGACCCCCTACTCCTCGCAAAGCACCCTTTTCTCTCTCAATCTCTCTCTTTGTACTTTACCTTTCTCTCTGACTTCCCTTTTGTTTGCTTTGTTTGTTTTTGTTTGCTTTCCGTCGCCTTTCCTTGTTGTTACTTCTCTCTGTCCTCTGGAGGTGTGTGCACCGTCGCGACGTACGCCTCCCCCCCCCACCTTTTTTTCCCGCCAGACTTAGCGTCGCAAAAATATACCCCGCCTTAAATAGAGGCAACAGCTGCCAAAACGAAAAAGCACACACACACACACAGAAAGAGACGAATGAAACGCCGAACACACACAAATAAACCCCTACACCTCTATGTGTTTGTTTGCAGCAACAGCAGCAGCAGTAGTAGTAGTAGTAGTCGCAGGGAGGCGAAAAAAAGAAGGCCAAAATGAACAAGAAGAAAAGAGAATGCAAAATGGACGGATACAAAACAAATGTGCCCCGCCCCGCACGTCGGGGGAAATGCACACTGTATAGGAGCAGGACACAGCGCCCCATTCCTCTGCATTCAGTCAAAGTTCTTGCATACACAAGAGGAGGACTACGTACACACACACACACACACATATATATATATATACCCGCATCCTCAGTGACAGTCACACACGCCACAAAAATACTCACCAAAAGAAAAGAGAACTCAATCACTGATAACAACACTTGACATCAAACCCCAAGGTGACATTTTCAGTCGTTATGTTGAGTAAGGGCCTAGAAACCACAGCTGGGAGCGCGATACCTTCAAACTGGACGTTAAACAGTGGCACCATCACCTCGTTTAGCAACCAAAGCAGGTCGGAGTTTAATTGGAACACGTCTATCGTACCAATATTTGATGCCACTACATCAATCTTCAAATCCACTTTAGTCAGGTTGAAGTCCAGGCGAGCCTTTGGAGTGAATCCAATATGCGTCGCGCCAGCCGTCACATTGACCGCGACATCCAGCACTGGAACTCTGATACCCGTGGTGGACAACATTTCCAAACTAATAAAGCCATTTGGCAAGTGGAGAATGGCAGTTTGATCGCTCCGCAGTTCTACCGACGGAGGCACTGTCGCATGAGCAGAAACCGCAAACGGACAATCTCGGCACATTTTGTATGTATCAGGATACATAGGCTCAATCAGGGAAGAATTATACTCAGCTGGGAGTGTCTCTGTTACATTCAGTTTACCCATCTGACAGAGATAGGTGAGAAGGTTATTTATAGCGACAGGAAGAACAACACTTTCAAAGTTTCTGTCACTAACCTGAAGCCCCAATGAAGCAGGCTTCAGTGGCGTACGGGTGCGGTTCTCACTTGGATCCGGTACAACATCCATCTCGAGCTCCATACGCTTTGCCATGATGCTCGGGTCGCTCGTGAAGATGAGCGGCAGTGTGGTGAATATCTCATTCACCTTCTCCTCAACGATTGGGCCAACCCGTTTTGGAAGCTCCTTCTCCAGAGATGCCCTGATGATGCTGTCAAGGTTACCCAGGAGCACCTCGACAATCGTCTCAATCGCCTTGCACGCAGCACCATCGAGCGAGTGTGTGATGTTCAGCGGTCCCCATTGGATAGCGTTCTCCCCGATGCTCCACTGCAGCGTGCCATTCGACATGCGGAATACACTGGCTGGCAGTGATGCATTGGTGTTGTCGATGGAGACCCGCACCCTGCCGTTGCACGTGGCAAATCCCACCTTGATGACAAAATTGGTGTCAGGCACAATCGCACTGACGTTCTGTATTGACATAAGCAGCTGGTCGGGGCTCACCATGCTTATGGCAGCGTCACCAATTCCCAACTTGCTAAAGTGGATCTCGTCAATGTCAAACTTGTCCGTGTGCTGCGCCGGAATGGCGACGTGCTTCAGGAACTCATTCAGCTGTGGGCGAAGCAACGGGATCGTGTTGGTGAAGAATGCCTCCTCCATGGCAAAGGTGGCACCGGGGGAAAGTCCACGCAACCGCGGCATCTCGCCAGTAAACCCAGTCAGCCGTCCCGAGCACACCACGACACACTCGAGTGCCGTGGCAACCAATAGGAAAAAACTGCATGGGGCAAATCGTTTTAATGGCATTCTTGACTAAAAAAAAACTACAAAGAAAACTCACGTTTCTCCTCCCGTATTCCTTCATACAACATAGATACACGGAAAAGAGTTTTTGTTGGAAGCCATGGGTTGCCATCACGGCTCAATACAACATAGGGGCAGCAGCAGCAGCAGCGGGGGGATATATATATATATATAAGCCGTGAAAATGAAAATATATTATCACTGAAGCCACAGCATTGTATATAGTGCTCGTTTGTATTTCTGAACCGCAATAAAAAGAAAAAAAAGACAGGCTTGTCGTCTTCTATGCGTCTCTCATCTTTTCAGCGGGTAACGGATGCATCCCACCGTAACTCCTAAGCGCAAAAACATTTTGCGGTGAGTATGTAATTCCCCTACAGCACAGAACGCCCTCCGCAGCGGAAGGGTGTGAGGAAGGAAACGACAGGTTTATCAATGCGGCGTCGGCAGCAAGTAAGCGAGGAACGTCAGGAGTGGCCTCGTCGCTGGCACCCCTCATGCCTGCAGCGACACGCCGCACAACACCAGCAAAGATACGAAGCGAATCATCGTGCACCGTTGGGCGCACATAATCCTCCACAAGGACAACATGCCCTGGCTGCTGGAGAATAAGTTGTGGGCTGTTTTCCAGCAGCAGCACCCGATTCAGTGGCCGCCCGAGTGCCGACAAATCCTTTACCATTTCATTGTCGTCGCGGTACCACCGCCGGTGGCGGCTGATGATGTGGTGGTACCAGTCACGCCGCTGCGCCACTTCCGCAATGACGCGAATGACGTTGTTGACGTGCAGCGGTGAGCCGGCCGACCACACCACCACCTCACAGCCCTCCGCATGACAGGTGTCGAGGAGCTCCCGTACGTGGGGCCGTGGGTATACGCACTCCCGGCGCGCCGTGACGAGCGTCTCGTCGAGGTCCATCACGACACAGAGCGGCGCATCCGGCAGACCCCTGTCGCACGGCAGCAGCGCCACTCTGCGCTGATGCTGGCGCTGCCGCGGCAACATCATCTCCGCAAGCGTCAACCCCGGCACCACAACGACGGCGCCGGCGCA